AACCTGCAGATTGAGAGCGAAGTGCTCTGTTAGGAACATCAGGAACAATCAAATCTCTGATATCAGATCAGTTTGAGAGAAACTGTTCCGCCTGTGAGAATCTCTTCCTGTGCTTCTTAAGTAGTTATTAAAATCCCGTGTGATGAAAACAGGCAGGAATGTTGGGAAGACCGAATCTGTTCTCCTTTGCAAGGATGAATTAATTCTGCTTGAATGAAGAAACTGTTCGGTTTCTGGTTCTATCCAGTTTTGCCTTTCTCCTTGTTTCCTAGTTTTTATGGTTTAATTCTTAGTTTATTGTGTTCTTTATTTTTTTCTCAGTTACCTTCTCAGTCTGGGTTCTGTTATATTTTCTTTTTAGTGTTCAGTTTTGTTTTACTCCTTGTTTTCTAGTGTTAGTGGTTTTATTTTTATTTTTGCTGTGTTCTCTAGTTTATTCTTAGTTACTGTTTCAGTCTGGTTCTGTTATGTTTTCTTTTGAGTGTTTCGCTTTACTTTTCTCCTTGTCTTAGTGATTTAATTATTATTTTGTTGTATTTTCTAGTTATTTTCAGTCTTTTTTTATTTGTTGCACTCTGCTGCCCTCTTGTGTTCTCCTTTCTCTCTAGCTCCTGTTTTTGTTTCTGCTCTGTCCTCACCTGTTCCAAATCTTCTCATTAGCCCTCTCTTTGTCTCAGTCTCCTTTATAAGCCCTCTCTTTGTCCCAGTCTCCTTTAAGAGCCCTCTCTATGTCTCAGTCTCCTTTAAAAGCCCTCTCTTTTTAGTTCCTCTTGGCTGGGTCCTCGTCTAACTCCGTCATACTTCCTCCAACTCGTCTCTCTGAGCTTCCTCCATGTGATTTTGAATTCCCTGATGTCTCCGTGGTCTTTCGGTACGTTTAGACTTGTGTTTTCATTTTTTTTTATCTTTGGTCTTTGGATTCCTGGTTTCATGTTTATTTGGAGTTTGGTTTTCACTTTGGATTTTTGAATAACCTGCCTCTATTTTCAGTTGTTTTTCTTATTCATCATTAAATCAACTTGAGAAATTCACCTCTGCCTTCCTGCCTCTGCTTTGGGTCAACTATCCACTAACGAATTCTGACAGAAACACTGGATCGCAATATCTTTTTTTTTTCAACAACAGCAGTTTCCCCATTTTTATTTCCCTGAATTTCAACTCTAGAGTGAGACAATAGAAAGGAAGTGATTGGCCACAGACTCGTGACGCCTTCCCTTGATGCAAGAAGGAGCTCTGATCACAGATCAAACTCTGGTTAACCTGCAGCTGAAATTATCCTTTTTAATATCTATATTCTAGAAACATTGCCCAGTGACCGTGTCTAGAACTACAACAACCAGAAAGACTCCATGTAATGAGCCAGATGTTAAACATCTGCTGCTTTCTGCTCATTTTAAACCAACAGGTGAAGTTTTAGTAAAAACTGAACCATGAAACACAGCAGCCAAGCTGAAAGAACCAAGGTTCCTGCCCAGTATGGAACCAGAACCACTGGAGAACCAAGGTTCCTGCCCAGTATGGAACCAGAACCACTGGAGAACCAAGGTTCCTGCCCAGTATGGAACCGGAACCCTGGAAGCAGGATGGAGGACGGAGCTGCAGAGTAAATCAAACAAATCCAGGATGTTTGAACGTTTACTGACATCAGCATATTAACAACGACTTTTTTCATTTGATGCCCACCGGTTCAAACCAGTTAGCTGACTGGTGGAGAACTGGAAGCTGGAGCAGAGAGCAGAGCAGCCGCTGTGATGAGTGCAGGGTTCTGATCATCTACACACCTGTTCATGTCACCTGCATCATGGAACCTCCACAGCACCTTAGAAAGGTCCTAGCTGCTAAAACCACCATGATCTGATGAAAGGATTGATCCACACTCACTGTAAACAAATAATCTGGGGGCCCCTGGGGGCCCCTGGGGCCACCAAGTCAGCTGCAGCGTTTTGACAAAGAAGAGTCTAAACCCTAGAAGTTACTGCACGGAGCTGCCTGTTGCCATGGTGATCAGATAAACGGAGGATTTAGTGGTTGTCAGGCGTTTTCAGGCACTTCGTCATCCTCCTCTTCCTCATCCGCTCCTGCAACAGTCAACAGAGCAGCAGGTGAGTTGCTAAGGAGACGGGAAGCATCAGGGGGAAGTCGTCCTCGTACCGTTCCAGGTCAGGTGATCGGCTGCCGTCAGCTCACTGGATTTCTCATCTTCACTTCCAGTCGATGGTCGATGGTCTGAGTTCTGTGACGGATCCGGGTTCTGTCCCTCTGTGGCGCCCGGTGATGCCTGAGACCCGCCATCTTCTTCTTCTTCTTCTCTTGCCTCGGTCTCTTCCTTCTCCTTCTTGGCCAGCTCTGTGCAGAGAGGACAGAAAAAGAAGATTCAGTTTCAGGATCCAGCTGGACTCCATCGCAATCAGGCTTTCAGTGGGGGGAAGGCGCCACCCACTGGTCACCTGTAATACCTGCATCTTGGAAACATCATCTAGATTTGCTCTGGAACTCACTGGCTAAGAAGAAGGTATATTAACATCTGAATAAACTGCTTTTCACCTTTTTGAATAACAAGTTTACTGATGTGATATTTTCACCACAAAAGGAGCGTTTATTTTTAATTCCACTTAAAGTAATATTTTTAAGAAGACTCACTACTTCAACCAATGAAAACCTAAGAAGCGTTAAACAAACTTCATCCAGACGGTTCAGGTTTACGTTCGAACCAGAATCACTTTTAACTGATCGATCTGCAACCTGCTGAGGCTGATGTTCACATCCAGCTCTGAAACATTAGCTGCTAGAAGTTTGCTATTGTTCATTTCTTTTATTGGATTTAGTTTTTTCTAAGAATTGTTTAGAACATTATATTTTCTTTAGTTAACATGATTTTAAATGTATATTCTCAGTAGCTTCTTAATTAAAAACATCCTGAATGAGAACTGGAGGTTTTTGGATTTTCTGTTGTTCGACCATCAGAAGGTAAATAATTCCATAAACAGACAGTATTGGTCAATTGGTCTCTTTTTATACGTCGATGCTTTTTGAACATCCCTTCAGTTACTGATTTAAACATTATTAGTTTGTTTTTCCCATCAATATTTGATCTTTTACTTTCATGTTTCTTTTATAATTTCATATGAAATACTTTGAAGTCCATGGCTGTGACATAAAAAAGCCAAAGAGGATGAAAACGTTGCCAAGTTGCTGCCTCTAAAAGCAACAGAGCAACTCTTCTCTTTCCACCACAGCTGCTCTGCAAACTGAAATAAATCAACGTTTCTGTGTATTAACCCTGAATTTGAGCAGGAAAATAAATTGATCTGCTGATGGAAGCAATATTTTTACTCTTAAAATAAGATAATTAGATCAAATGCACCTTAAAGACAATCCAATAGGTTTTTTTTCTTATTTTAAATGTAAATTGTTTTGTTTTATTGGCAAGGTGTCTAAATTACCTCCTCAGTTCAAGAAAAAATGCACTTATTTAGATTTCAGTTTTTTTGTAGCATGCAAAAGAAAATAAAACTATTTTCTTTCATCTGAACTCAAAATGTGTACGGCACTATTTTTATTTTAGAGGCGTTAAAGAAATACGGTCACAAATTAGTAGCAGTTAGTGGGAGGAGCCAGAGGTTCTTCACAGGGCGGTTAACCGTCCAACCAGAGAGAACCTGTTTCTGTTCCTGCAGTCATTTAGAACTGAATCCAATCAGTTTCTGTTTTCAACCTCAGATCCTCATCAAACACGCGGTTCGCATCACTTTCTCTGCCTGAACTATCATCCTGCTTTAAACCTGGGATCCCTCGGTGTTTGGTGTCGGCGTACCGTGAACTGACAGCTCCTTCCAGCGGTCCTTGTTGCTGGTGATGACACCGGAGAGGTGCTGCCTCAGAGCTGGCAGGTCGATCGCCGTCAATGAAAAATTCATCTGTCCATCCTCACTGTTTCCATGGCGATTGCTGCTGTGTCTCTGTACGGACTCGACAGTGACTGAGCCACTTCCTGTCAGGCTGGATGAAAGCAGAGCCTCAGTGAGGTTTGATGGAAGGAGACCAGAGAAAATCTACGCATGATAAGAACAAAACGCTGCAAAGGGATGAAGGACTAAAGGGTCACTGAGAACGAGGCCTTGAAGTGAAACCAGTGAGTGGGAATCATTATGGCGGCTGCTAACAGTCTGGAAGGGAGCGGGTTGGTGTGATTACACACATGTCTGGTGCAAAGAGAAACAAAGTGATTCCCACCGACTCCCTTTGTTTAACTGAGCAAATCATTTTTTCCTTTACGGACCAACATGAGCAGCGCTTCAGAAACAGCAGAAAACAAGAAAAGACCAAGTTACTAAAACAGGAAACAGTTTGATTCTTTTTGTGTTGGCAGCTTGAAAGACCCTCTGAGGCTTCCTTACTTCATCTGTTTCCCTTTCCAGGACTTTATGAGAAATCAGAACATGCCTCTGAACCATTTTAGAAATATCTGCAGCTTCATGCTGAGATATTAGACCCTTCATTTTCCCGTTCCCTTATCTGCTACCTGGACCTTCTGGCTCCGGTCTCTCTGGCCTTCCTGTCCTCTTCTATCAGAGGTCCAATCACCTTCTCTGTTGTTTCGATGAGGACGGTGAACGTCGGCTCTACGATGAAGTCAATGAAACCTGTGAGTGAAGGGTTAAAGACGAAGAGGTGAGGGACGCTGAGATCCTGCAGAACCAGGAGCTCAGATCAGTGTTTACGCACCAATCTGTGACTGGGCGATCATGGTGGCTTTACGGTCACAGAGGGGAGAGAAAGGAAGGCCGAGTTCCACCTCTTTATCTCCCTAGAAGAAGAACAGAGCGATGGTGGATCTTTGACGCTTTCTGTGGTAGAAACCTCAGTTCTCTGGTTTAATTTGCAGCTTCAGCCACTTTGTTCACTTTAGAAGAAAAGACATGATGTTCCTTTCTGGCCCCTGGGGGCCAAATATGTTCATAATGGTCTGGATTTGGCCGTCAGGCCTTGATTGGGACACATGGGCGGTAGATCTAGAAAACATCTAAGCTGAGGGTCTAGAGCTCATGTCTTTGCAGAGTGAGGACGCATTCTGAAGCGCCGGGACGTCTGAGGACAACGGGGCGAATCATCCAGTTAGGATTCACATCTGGATGGGAGAGACTAGTTAACATCTGCTCCAAGTCATGGGATTAAAATCCAACTATCTACCAATATTATTCCACTTATCTTTTATTTCTAACGGTTTTTGAATCTCTGAGCAAAGTGACTCAGTGGTTCCAGGAAACGGATCTTAGTTTTTCTGGGGGATGCAGAGGTTTAGATGTGTACCTGTCTGAAGAACTCTTCCATCAGGCTGTGAGTCCAGTGGTAGTGCAGCGGCCAGGCTTTGGCAGGATGACTGATGTCTGCTGCGTGGAGCATCAGAGATAAAACCTTCACTTTGTCTATCCTGGAGAAAGACGAAGACACAGAATCAGGATCCGCCCAGCGG